TGAATTAACTGAAGCACAAGCATTTCAAGGTGTCCCCATGACCTACAGTGAATATGTAACTATTGCAACAGTTTCACGTATTTAACCATAAATGTGTTTTTATTTTGCATTGGCTTTACGTAATATATTTTGTACCTTACTTTTAACTTACTTATCTATTCATATAATAAATAATTCTCGAATTTTAAAAATTTATCGTTAGGCTTTTTTAGTTTTTAAATAACCAAAAGTTTAAAATAATGAAGAGCTTGTTTTCTGCTAATAGGTGGCGATTTGTCGAAAGCGAAAACTTATGTGCCAAGACTTACCGGGCGCAATAGATATAGGAAATATACCCGCCACCAATTTTGAACAAACTGCGGCACACGCGATCCAGCTGCTATTAGAAGGGGCACAGGCCTCAAACAGTGAAATAACCGGAGCACAAGCAATGCAAGGTGTTCCCGCGACCGAAGCCAAAATGGTAAAAATTAGGTTTACAATTGGAAGAATTTTCATACTATATAAATTAATATTATATTGAAAATATCTTTTAATTTTTCTCGGTTTAAAAATTGAAATGCATAGCATGCTTAAAACAAAAACTCGTACAAGAACACTCTCCAATAGCAGCAGCTTTAAAAGATAAACTGGCCGTTAACGATGAACTAGCAACAAAAACCAGCGACGCCTAGACTTCGACAATTTTAGTCGAACTTCTNCGAAAACTTATGTGCCAAGACTTACCGGGCGCAATAGCTTTAGGAAATATACCCGTCACCGATTTTTAAAAAACGGTGGCACACGCGATCCAGCTACCATTAGAAGGGGCAATAACGATGAACTAGCCACAAAAACCAGCGACGCATAGACTTCGACAATTTTAGTCGAACTTCTAAAAATTTACCGGATGGATATACATGATTTAATTATTTTATAGCTTTAGTTTAACTATATATTTGTCAAAAATAAATAAATACATATTACATATTATTTACTCTAAAACATAAACGTATTTTATATTATTTTATTATTATATATTATATTTATACTACAAACGTCTATAATATAATTTGTAGTATTATACCGGTGCTTTGGTCAAAATAGGCCACTTTTTGGTGAAAATGAGTTTTATGGCCAATCATATAAACTTTAATGTACTTTTTCTAATGATAAAAGTGCGTATCTCGAATATATTTTTTTTGAGATTTATATTTTTTGAGACCAATGTCGTTACAAAATTACTGTTGCAATAACCAAAAATGTGTTTATTCCTTATTTCCGAAAATTAATTAAAAGTGTGATTGGCCCTTATTGATCCAAGCCCCAGAATTAGTAGTAGTATTAATTTCTTTCGATTACACCAAACAAGTTTTGACTTGTATTTGTATTAATAATCTTTATTATCATTGAATAGTATATTAGTACATTATTATTTTAATTTGATGATAATTTTATCTTTTCGAAAAAATAAATATTTTCATTCCAAATAAAAAATATCGCAATCGTATTTTAATGTTATATTCAATTTATTTATTAGTTATTATTGTCGTCTCTCGTATGACCTTTAATGCAATATGAATTTTAAATATAAGAATAATAGATCAGATATAAATTAAAATAAATGACTAATTTATAAAGCAAATGTAGTATAATAATATCATAAATTAACAATTAAACTGGTTTTTCTGAATGATCATATTTCGATGAAGTATTGACATCAAAAAAAACCAATTACCTATAACTGCTTTGCTTGTTGCTGCATGAAAACCTGTAAAAAATAAAAAAAAACTGTTTAAATACTTTCATTTTACCGCTAAGGTCAACTTATAATGAGCCTGATATGAGTTTGGGAACTTCTCTGTAGGGCCAATATATATTATCAACATAATATCCATCAAATAAAAACTAAAAATACTAGAAAATGTAAAATACCGATAAAAACCTCAAAAGTCGCAAGAATGTTTCAAAAATTCTAACACGTCTAGAAAATATACTTCACGTATATTCAAGTTTTTGTCCTATTTTTAAGAACACCATACAAAAAACAAAAATTGACGAATCATGACTGACAATTTTTGTCAGAAAATGTAGTTTGGAGCCGGATTTATGATAAAAAAATGAAGTTATAAAACTTAAATTATAATGAAACAGTTTTTAGTATTTGTCAGTATTTCTAAATCTTTATTTTTGGTTTTTCCAAATTATTAAAAAATTGAAACCTTACCCCAATGCATCAACAAGATTCAAAATTCAACAAAAAACGGTTAGTTTTCATTTTTCGATTGAAGCGAGATTTCCGGCAATTAGAAAAGTTATTTACTGTCGTAAAAGTAAAAAATATAAGAAACCCTAATTCGCATAAAACCAAACCAATCGCTGTTACACGCAGAACCTAAAATCAAATAGGTACGCGTAATAAATTGCTTAGAATCCTATTTTCAAATGGAAAAGACGCAAAGAACGACTAATCGACGTTTAAAAAATGTATACGTGCTTCAAAAGAAAAAACAAAAACATTATCTGTCCTTTTCTTTTCAACTAGTTATCATATTCCAACATAAAGATATGAATTATCTTATACAATTTAAGCTTCGACAGGTTTAATAGAGTTAAAAGTCGATTTTATTCATAAAACATTTTAGATCAAATGTTTAATAATAAATGTCGTGTCGGATAGTTACACTAATATTTTGATTCAACAAAACAAATCGTACCTATATTATTTTAAATATTCAAACAAATATAAAAGGAAAATAATTAAATATCTCCATAATCGTATTAATCGACTAAGAACTATATTATATTAACAATAATATTGACGTTTTGATAGTTTTAAACTATCTATGTAAACGTCAACATGGCGCGAGATAAACCGTTTTTAAATTAAACCGACTTTTTAAAGAATCTACCTAACTTAACAAGCATATTGTTCACATGGTAAACTTTTAAACCGCTTTAAATTTTAAACCGTATTAAATATTGTTATTGTCGAATGCAGTGTATAGAAATAATACGATACTGTAATAATAGCTGTGTACGTACTTGAAGTGTATCTTAATTCCTGTATTACGTCAAGAGATAATATACGGAGGGTCAATCGCGAGTCTTTATTTAGACGATAAAAGAGGGTTAACCGGTTTACATTTGTTCAGTGCCCCTATTAAGTTCGGTAACACTTCAAGCGTTCGCTGGTAAAAAAAATGATTTCAAAAAAAAAACCATAATAATTTTAGTTGTGACCAAATACAAAAATAATACACATTTAATTTAATACACAAAAATATCTC